GAAGGGCAGTAATGCATGAGTTTTCTGACAAAAATAAATCAACTTTTCCTTAAGAACATATTCTCCACTGTGAAGTTCTTCCCACTACTCACATTCCAGGGTAGAGAGTGGGGCAGAAGCAATTAGGGAAGCAATAATGGGGAGACCTGGGGGTTAAACTTCAAGTTTCAATGATTAGGACTTGATGGTCCCTGGAAATCAGTCTAGGAACTAACTTCTGTGTCTTTTCAGAAAACCAAAACACTTCACCCCAAAGGGTGGTATTGACAGTTCAGGGTTCTGATTAGAAAGAACTGTAATTTTCCTTCCTGTGATCCCAATGAGACCCTTGGCAGAGCTATGAATTGGGTCTGATAACTAGAAATTATTTGGGGGGTAAAAATTTTGGAGTGTCTGGCTGAGGTTCCCCATTGATAAAGCAACATTATTGGGCAGGTTAGCTAGAGGCTGCAAATGAAGAGTTAGTAGTTTGTCCCTGGTGGTGGTTTCCATGAGAAATGTCCTCCACATTTTCAGGAGTATGAACTCCTGGTCCCAAGTTGGTGGCACTGTTTGGTGAGGTTTGGGAGTCATAACTCCTGCAGTCAGATCATCACTGGGACAAGCTTTGAGTCTTACACCCCTGCACCATTTCCAATTCAATCTCTCTGCTTTGTGCTTGCAGTACAAGATATGAGCTCTCAGCTTCCTGCTCCTGCCACAATATCTATGGCTTACTACCATGCTTCACTCCCATGATGGACCATAAACACACTTAAATTATTTTCTGTATAAGCTACCTTGTTCATGGTGTTTTGTTGCAGTAATACAAAAGAATGAATGCTTGCTGGCATGAAGATTGGAAGGGGTGGTTTCTGGAGTAGTAAACTGAACAAATACAATTGTGACAATATGAGAGGCATCAGAAGCTCCCCATCTTTAGAAGGCAATAATATCTGTGAGAGTCATGTAAACCTCAACTAAAAACCACCCAGTTGAAGCTAGGTATGTAGTGAATTAGCAAGTTACCTGTATGCCAAGCACAACATCCCAGATTTCAAAACCAGCACATTATATGTTGTGAGAACCCCTAATTACATTCACATGTGTTAACAGAGCCTGAGTCTGAGATGTCATTTTTCTCCACCACAGATGGTAACCCTGAGATTCTCCAAGCAGGAGATCTTCCTTCATGCCATTTTTGGCTTCAGCCAAGGTCTGGCTGGATATGCAGGAGATAACACAGGATGACATGGCCAACCTAGGTGTTCATATAGATGGTTCAAAAGGAACTGAGTATTCTACCCCTGTGCATGATAGAATACCACTTACTCATAGGTAACACACAGGTTGGCAGAGCCACATTGTTTTGCCTTCACTGAGTTCTAGATTCCAAACTCATATGGTCCTTTGTGACTCCTAATGGCACTGACAAAAGAGTAAGTCCTGTTGCTCTCAGACATCCTCAGCCTGTCACCTTTTGAGAGGCATTGACCACTCACTAACCACAGGGTAGTTTATATCCCGAATCTTGGGTTCACATGCAAATGCTACCAAGTCCTCACAGAGTCCTCCACCGGGCTGGAGTTTCTGCTTGTGTTTGTGTAATAGTGCAGTGCAGAAGACAGAGAGAAGATTGCCATGTGTAGGAGTGCTGATCATTACAAGGACATCTTTCCACTAGTGTTGACTTCTCATCTCCCTGCCTACTGGAATCTAAAGAAAATACACGAGGAGGTGGATCACAGGCAGATGCAGGGATATCTTAGGGCTCAGAGATAACAGAGCCTCCAATGCAAGTGGGAGAAAAAATATTTGCCATATGTTAGCTGGCAGAGCTCGAAGTAGGATGCTGATGATGTGACCTACAGAAATTAAGGGCAAGAGCTTCTGAAACAGGCCCAGTGGGACCAGATTTATTTGACAGGTTGCTGGCTAGTTTCTGTCACCTGACAAAAGCTAGAGACACTTGGGAAACCTCAAGGAATTACCTCCATCAGTTTGGCCTCCTGGTGTTTCTATGGAGCATATCGTTGTTCACTCATTGATGTTTGAGGGCCCAAAACACTGTGGGTAGTGCCATTCATAGGGGGTGGTCCTGAGCTGTACAAAGAAAATGTAACTGAACAAACCATTGGGAGCAAACAGGAAAGCATTGATTCTGTATGGTCTAACATTCACAAGTTAGAATAATGATACAAATGAATAACAGTAGGGGAAGTCATTGAATCTGAGGTTGGTTTTTCTAAGTGATTAACAGTATTAACAAACTTTAATTAGATTAGCTTTGCTTTTAAAATATTACCATTAACACTAGAAGTGAAATTTGAGTCCTTACAGTCCATTCTAAAGAATACTAAGAATTCCATGAGTACTCAATAGTTGTGCTAAATGTTGAGTGACCTACATGAAACAGAAATATTCCTATAAGCCCAGGACATACAAAGTTGGAAGAATGAAGAAACACAAAACTGATTCAATGTGTAACTCATAAAACTAAGTCAATAAAGACATTTGACAAGCTTTAACAGTTTTTAATGATGAAAACAGCCAAACAAGGTGTACTGGGCAGGCCAGTGTAGTAGAGGAACAAATGGAAATCCACAGTAAACTGTACTCAGAGGGGACACTGACAGCTTTCCCTCTATGACCAGGATTGACACAAGGATGCTGCTGTGGCCACTTTAGTGTTACCTTAGGAGTCTTAGAAAGAACAATTAGGCAAAACAAAGACCTGAAAGGTAGCCAATCAATCAACTGTCAAATGTATCTGCAGATGACATGAACTTATTTGGTGAAAATAATAAAGATTCTACAGAAGTTTCTGGAACTGGTAAGCAAACAGACCCACCTGGTCTGTTCTTCCATAAACTAATATTTACCACAAATAACTAGATGTTCTGTTTTTCTTATGCCTAGAGACAGAAGTAGATGGGATATAGGTTTAGAAATGCCTTGCAAATGGACAATAGTGATGTTCACATGGGAATATGAATGTGCTTAATGCCACTCATCAGTGCACCTCAGAAAAATAAAAGTGGAAAATCCCACCTATGTCTTAAAATATATATTATGAACATAATCATGAACAAGTTTGCACTGTGAATGCCAGTGTCAGGATAGAAACAGTCCACTTGATCCTTACACCATGGATTTTACATCTGTGTATAAAACAAACTGAGCATCAAAGCTATTTAGAAATCAGTTATGTCCACAGATAAACTTGTGCAGTCACTTATCCTGTCACCACTCCTCACTTCACATGGATGATTGGTATCGAGGAAGCATTGGTATTGCATGAAACTACTTGAGTTTATGAGAGGATGTTTATCTCTATGCAAAGACTTCACGATTTTAACAGGGACTAAGAGCATCCAGAAGTTTGGGGATCCTGAAATTAGTTTCCATAGACTCTAAGAACTGGCTGTATATTTGATCGACAACCTAAAGCTCTTAAGTCCTTTGCAGTTCTGTTTACTATATTTATGGTTGCTTTTCCCCTTTAGAAACTGAGTCTCCTTTTATGTTCTGGCCAGTCCATGTGCACATTTATCCCAGTATTATAAGCTTGAGTCACCATGCTGGCTGTACCTGACTGGTAACTGACAAATTTTTTACCACATAACTTTTCTCTTTGTTGTGTGGCATTGATAAAGCAATGCCAGCACTCTCCTATAGGATGAGAGGGGAGGTCACTCATTCTTCACAAGCAGGCTGACTGGGAGACTGGTCATTGAACTGACTTGGTTGGAGACCTCACACTTATACTCTCCAGCATCCTCTCTCCTGACAGGATCGATGGTGAGTTGGCAGTTTTTGGGGGACAGAGTCATCCTCTCTGTGAGTTGCAGATTCTGGTTATTGAAGATCCAACGGATGGAGATTCCAGGGTCAGCTGAGAAGCAAGAGAAGATCACAGAGCTCTGTACTGTGACTGTGGTGTCAATGACTCGCAATAAGGGCTGTGACACAGGCTCTGTGAAAAAAAGAGAGGGGATTAAATGACAATATTCTTCAGCCAGCTCAAGCAGCAACCTCTATACTTCACACTTAATAAAGCCTCCATGGGAGAGAATTTGTTGGACCTGATGGATTGGATATATATATATGGTGTTTTGTGCTTTGGATCTGTCACACATAGCCTGTATGTCCCTGATTCAGACCCTAAGTTTGCTGTGTCTCAATTTCCCTATAATCGGACACATTGCAAATATTCACTGCTTCACCTGTGAGTTAACCTTACTTATGAGCAGTGGCTGGAACTTGGGATGTGGAAGATGTTCAAATCAGCAGAATCTGTTACTATCTACCTGAAGAAGAGTATTCCCTAGGCTTGATCCCTGAGAACAAGGAGGAGTATTGAGTAAGTATTGCTTTTGTTTGTATCCTTTGGGACATTGTTCTTTCTGGGAAGTCTCTTAAACCTATAAGAATAATTGGCTACTAGTTGGGGAATATGTATTTGGACTCAGAAAGGAGAGGATACCCAACTGACCTACCCAACAGAAGCTCCCATGTTAGTACACAGCCAGTTACACACACTATGGAACTTGGACAGTCAGTAAAGACTTGATCCCTATCAGCAATAACAGGAAATTAAAGCCAGACATTTCAAAATATGCCCAATGTAACCTGGAGAAGTGTCAGGGGCAGAGATTTGGAGCTAGGACTTCCTGGTACTCTCTATAAAGATCCCACGGCTTCCTCAGGCAGTGCCTGCCTGGAAACCACAGAGTCTCTCTTGAGCCCTTGTATGGTGAGTGTCCTAGGAGTCTGGGCTGTGTCTGATATCCTAGTGCTATGTTATCCAGCATATATTCTCTTCTCTGCAGGTGTTGCCCAGTGAGGAATTCTGACCAATTGTTGTCTACTCTACATGTGTCTTGCAGTCAGTGCCTAAACCCCAGTGTGGGGACACAGTGCTGTGAGGGAAACAGCAGGCACAACCCAGTTCTTACAGTCTAGTTTATGAAGTAGGATAAGCCACACCCAGCAGTTGGAAGCCATAAAAGGTCACTTACTCTTCACATGGAGTTGCACAAATGCTTTTTCAATTTTGTAATCTTTGTTCAAAGTTTCTAGCATGTATAATCCTGCATCTTTTTCAGTGATGCCCTCGATCAGCAGGGATCCATTGGTGTATACCATTTCTCTTTGGCTGTGTGCAAGCCCCCAGATGGTGGAATCGATGGCTTTGTTGTATTCTGCAATTTTAAAGATGTCTGTCCTATACACTGATTTGTACCAGTAAAATTCTTGAAGATCTTCTGGCAGATTATGAACTAGGAAAAGAACGCTTTTCCCTTCAGCAACATACTGAGGCACTGATTCAATTGTGACTTGTGTGAAGGTTGGAGAGTTAGAGCATGTGGAAACGGAGGCTGGAAAAGAAAAGAGCCATCAATTGAAGAACATTGGGTTGGTGGGAAGATGGTAACCTCTGTTCTGAACAGATAGATTCATGCCTCAGCCTAGAGATGCAGATGTGGGTGTGTCTATCCTTCAAGGTGGAGATCAGCAACATGACTTCCAATCCCTGAGTGCTTCTGAATGTGTCATTTCCTCTGCAAGGAGCTCTCTCTGTGGTTGAGTAAATAACTCCTCTCTCACTGCCCTCAGTCAGACACTGTACACACTCAAGAACACTGCAATTTGAGAAGATGTCTCCCCTGAAATCTACAGACCATAGAATTTCAATTTCTGGCTGATTTCAGTTTGTTTTAAGGATCCAGTCAACTCCTGACTTCACTTACTGATGTGCTTGGTGATTTGTCCTGCAGTCCACAGGACTAGGGCTGGGTGAGGGCAGGAGCAGTCTTAGCTTTTTTTCAGGATCAGGTCATAGAAAAGTCTCAGATACAGATGACTTGCTTTATGTCAAATTGACACATGTTAGAGTCCCTTAGAATGTGGGAGAGTCAATTAAAAGTGCCACTATCAAACTGACCAAAGGGCAAGACTGTAGTATATACTAGACACATGCATACACACACACACACACACACACACACACA